TCTTTTAAAAAATAATTTAAAATGAAAAATGGAAATGTTCTCAATTTGAACGAATGCATTTTAAATGCATTGTTTGCGTTTTGAAACTCTGCGTTGCAACGTTCAATTTGTGCGCACTATAGTTCATATTTGTAGTATTTTTAACATATATTTTTATCATCGTTATTTTTTTGTTAAGCTAATCTAAAGAGACACCTCAAGACCGTGCACTCGACAATGTTTACGGAGTTGTCTCAAATTAAAGCCCAAGATACAATGGCCGGAATAAGAAAGCCCCTTATACATGAAAACCTATATATGAACAAATTAATATTAAATTTTTTAATTAAAACCAACTGTCCATTCAATTTAGTGGATAATGAACATTTTAAGAAAATGATACACTATTTAAATAGCCATTTGAAAATTTGGTGTAGACAAACCTTCTCTAAAAATTTAGGGAAGGTTTATGAGATGTCTAAAACACATCTTATTGAAAAATTAAATAAAAATAAAAGTAAATTTTCAATAACCAGTGACGCATGGACGTCTCCTAATGGATCCTCATTCTGTTCAATTACACTACATTATATCAACCAAGAGTGGAAGATAATAAATATAATTTTGGATATGTTATCCTTCCCCCATCCCCATACAGGAGACGAAATATCATCCCTTTTGATATCATCATTAAATGATTTTAAAATTAGTGATAAAATTATGTCTATCACTCATGATAACGGGTGCAATATTATCAAGGCTGTTGAAATAATTAAGAAATATAATGAAGTAAATTTTAAAGCCGTTTTATATGGGCATCGTTGTATGGCCCATATACTTAACCTTATTGTCAAAGATGGTTTAATATATTTTGATGATAAATTATCAAATATAGAAAAGTTAGTTTCCAAATTACATATGTCGCCAAAATTGTTGCAGACATATGAATCTTTTAATGGGGCAACAAAAATACCTCTTCCCGTAAAGACAAGATGGAACAGCGTATATCTAATGCTAAAAGCCATTAATAAGGTATAAAATAAAAATATTTTTGTATATTATATCTAATTTTTTATATATATTTTTATAGAATGTCAATGCAATATTACATCTCAGCGACCTTGGATTAATTGAGACCGATTTGTCTTCAGAGAATTTTGATTTCTTCACTAATTTAGAAGAATTTCTAACTCCTTTTTATCAAATAACCGTAGAAATTAGCGCGCAATCCCCAACTATAGGGATGGCCATACTATTCTACAATGATATTCTGGAGACTTTGAAAAATCAGGAGATAGGAAATTCTGACGTTTCAATAAGAGAAGCTGCTTCATTAATGAAAAATAAATATGAAGAATATAGCCAATACATATTAACACCTCACAATTATGTTGCATCAATATTAGATCCCAGGATTAAAAATACACTTGTGGCTAATTTAAAGAAAGATGCAGCAGTTATGAATATGGCTATATTCAAAGATGTTTATGCAAAATATATCACAGAGCCATTTGATGAGTACTCATTCAATAATAATAACAATCCATCTAACCTTAAATCTATTTCATTACTGCAGGGATTGAAAAAAAGGTATATTTGATTTTGATATAATTAATATAAATTATATATTCTGATTTTTCTTTTTGAAATTTTTCTCTTTAGAAAAGTATCATCAAATGGTGATAGTGATAATCAGATATTGACCTATCTTCAGGAACCTGTAGCGCCCGAAACAACAAATGTGCTAGATTGGTGGAGAGGGAATTCAGATAGATTTCCTCATTTAGCTACGATGGCGAAAGACTTTCTATGCCAACAAACAACTTCCGTGGCATCGGAAAGAACCTTTTCTCTTGCCGGAAATACTATTACGAAATTGAGGAACAGGATGGCTCCCTCCACCCTTAAACAATGCATTTCATTATCATCCTGGGATATAGATATAATGGCTCTTCATGATGATATATGGTAAAAATTTTTATGCATAGTTGTTATTTATTTTTTAATAAATAATTCATTTTTCTAAATATATTTTAATTTTATATTTAAATATTTTTTAGGGATGGTATTATATGATGAAATCTATATCCACAACTACAAGCAGGATATATTCCTGAATCCTGATCCTGTTTATGATATTAGAAAAAATGAAAATATTAATTTTTAATATTGTATTTGTATTCTATTGTTGTAATATTAATATATATATTTATTTAATTCATCAAATTTTAAAAATAAATATATTTATACTCGTTTTTAAGTGACTTTAATGAATTAAATAAAAAAAATTTAATCAGCTTTAATTTAATACTCTTTAGCAATAGAGAGGTTTTTACAACCCTCCCCTCCCAATCTTCCTAGCAATTAGTTAGACCAAAGAACCTTGATGGATAATAGCATTCACAAAATATTTTCATTACCTTTCATGATTAATTTTAATACTGTAAAAATCTTCCTTATACACTTAATAATATAAAAATAGTTGAAATCTGAGCGATTCAATTATGAAAATTAAAATTTTTACCTAAAATGAACTTTTGGGAATTCAGTAAAAATTGTTTTGAGTTGTTTTAATTTATGTAGGAAAAAAATAGTATATGTTGAAGAAGTACCAACCTACATGTATTGTTTTGCTATTCACATTCACACCAATGTTATTAATGCTTAAATTTTTAGCTATAACGGCTCACTCAAGAATTTTGTAAAGTTAAAATAGGTATCCTATAAATCCCATAAAAGTTTAGTTGAAGATGCGTAAGTAACCGTAAACTAGTAATTATATTTGCCAAATATGAATACTTACATAAAATTATCGGTGATTTTTCCAATATTTTAATTTTACTTTCAGTTATCCAAAGAATGGAAATCCATAAGAAATTTGAATAATTTCTTAATATGAGTGAAAACTCGAATTTAGGGTTTTCAGATAATTCTTATTTGTTAGAATTTTTTATGATCAATTCGAAACACCAAATAAAAAAAACCATTTATTATTTATTTATTCTATGTAAATAAAATATTACACAATATAAATCAATTACAAATTCAATCATTTAAAGGAATGCATCGAATTCCCTCTTCAAAAAACTTTATGGTGTGAGAATAAAAATTTAAAAAATTATATGTAAAATAATTGCCTAAAATACCGTAACAATTGAAATAACTTCATTTCGGTTATTGGGTTTAGGAGGATTTGATCTATATTGATTTTTAATTAATCCGTAAAAATTTTCTATCAGATTTAATTGCGGCGAATAGGGTGGCAAAAATATGATATTTGGATAATTCTCACTAATTATTCTCGCTCGATGTTTGGAGCATTATCCATTATAAGTAATGAATTTGATGGTAAAAGTGCGAATAATTCATCCAGGTATGCCTTGAATTTTATCGCAGTAAAAGCCCCATCTATTGTGAATTTTTTCAATCCACTTATTCCTATTGTGCATAGGTTACCGGAATTTTTTAAAAATATAATGCTTTTCTCAAAAAAATTTTTCAAGTTTTTAAAAGTTTTTTTAAAAAAGGATGTATTTTTCTCAACAAGTTTTTACAATAATTACGGAAAGTTAAATTGAAGTGTCGGGGCTTCCGTTATGGGTAGAATGGTTGGTGGCACATCTCGATGATTTTTGGTATGCGTCATTTTAGGTTAATAAAAGCAACTACAACAATTAAATTTTATTTAATTTTAAAACCAAAAAAAATATAAAAAAATAAGAATTATCTGAAAACTCTAAATTCGAATTTTCTTTCACTTATGTTTATTAAGAAATTATCAAATTTCATATCCTGATTTCCTTCTTTAGATAACTAAAAGTAACATTCATATAAATAATACTTTAAATAAAAAAAATTTAAAAAAATTATTCTATTTAGAAAATTTTTATTCTCATTTTCCCACTTAAACTTGGGTCCAAAACATAAAAAAATTATATTCGATTCATAACTTTTTGACTTTAATCTTCATTAAAGTTTAAAAACTCTTATTATTAAAAAAATTTTAAAAAAATTATATCAAAAATTTTTAAAAATTTTATCAAAATGTTTTTACAATAATTATGGAAAGTTATTTAACTATATATAAGAATGTTTTTTCACATAATGAAAATGTGTCTCAACATATCATATTATTTGTAAATTCTGTGGCCACTTTGGCGAGGGTGAGGAGGGGTATTTTACAGAATAAAACTTTTAATAAATATTTTTTTTAAAGATATTGTATATTATTATTTTATTACATTATGTGATTATTTTTTTACAATCTGTATTTATATAACACACCACGCTATAAGAAATTATAATAATATTTCATTTTCATGGGTTAAAAAAAATTATTGCTTTTTTATTTATAATTAGAATAAGATTAATAAATTAATAAGGTTTATAATTTTTCTTAGTTTTCCTTATAAAAATTTTATTTTTGTATATTTCGCTACAAAATCACAAACACTAACTGTGATTAAAAAAACATGTTTACTCTTTTACCCAAGTAGAGGCTATGCAAATTAAATTTTTATTTAGCTAGAGCCCATTGTAACTTATTCTAAAACCCTATCTCAGTTATTGATATATACCAATTGATTTTTAGGCACTACTAGCCTAGCACCTTCCTCCTTTCTTTAGCCCTGAGTCTGAAAATATTTAAATTTATTTAAACAAAAAGCATTTTAATTTTTATATTAAATTTTATAGTATCTTCTTCCGTTTATTCTCAGTAAACTATAATTTTGGATTTTATAAATTAAACCATAACTCGACCAGATATAAATTTTTTAATCCCGAAACTGACTTGCTTGCAGGGCTATCTATATTATCTAACAATAAAAACAACCCTGAGTCCGAACCAAGGGTCCGACCACGGGTCTGAACCAAGGGTCCGACCACGGGTCTGAACCAAGGGTCCGACCACGAGTCTGAACCAAGGGTCCGACCACGGGTCTGAACCAAGGGTCCGACCACGGGTCTGAACCAAGGGTCCGACCACGGGTCTGAACCAAGGGTCCGACCACGGGTCAATCCCCGGTTCTAGTGAGGCACTTACTTTGCATGAGGCATTATATTTAAATAAAATTTATATAATGACTTTTGAAGGGAATAAATTATGAGGATATTCAAAGTCCAAGTCTTATTCAGCTATACAAAAAAAAGGAACCAAATGACCCTTTTCACTTTATATTATTTAGGATGACAAATATTTTGATAAATTTCATAATTGCTGTAGGCCCTTGTCAGCCATGTACAAATAAATTTCAATATCCTGTTACTAACAAGAGGTTTTAAATAATATTTATTTTCATTAATTTTTACCCATCCATTATTTCTATACCAATATATTTTTTTTTACTTTTTAAACAGGAGCATGAATATAACCTATTATAGAAAGGTTAATATAGATGGTTCCCTCAACCCCAGAAATTGGCTATCTTATAGCACTACTTTAGACAAAGTCTTTTGTCTATATTGTATTATGTTTGGTGGCCCTAAGTCCAATACTTTTTGGACTCAACATGGGGTAAAGCTTGTTCGGTATATAGAAGATGATCTGCATCCACATCCTGTAGAAAGGATCATACATGTTTTTCACAACAGAAACCACTGGGGAAAATATAAAGAAACATGTTTTTTCTAAGTTTAATGATCTTGGTCTTCCTCTTGATTATTTGGTTGGACAAAGTATGGATGGTGCAGGAAATATGAGAGGAGTATACAAAGGAATGCAGGCTTTAATATTGAAAGAGGCTCCAAAAGCCATCTATATTTGGTGCCATGCACATCGGCTAAATTTAGTAGTTGCTCATGTTTGTGGATGCAAAATTGAAATGAAAAAGGCAATGGGAATATTAGATGAGTTATATAATTTTATGAATGGAGTTAGACGTCAAGGTGTGTTTGTTAAATATCAAATGAGAAAGTCCAAGAAATCTCTTAAAAGAATTAAAAACACAACAAGGTAAATAAAATATTTTTAATGAAACTTGAAACTTATATATTTTCAGAAATTGGTCATCATCCTACAAATCTGTAGAAATCTTTTTAGATGTTTATGAACATATTTTAGCATCATTAGTTGAATTAAAAGATTCTAATGACCCAAGCACCTCTTCCATTGCCGATGGGTTATTATCAAGAATTAAAGATGAAAATTTTATATTAAGTCTTTTTATTTTGAAAGAAATATTGAAATGTACACATGAGGCTTGTATTGAAATGCAGGCAGTTGGTAATGATTTGGCTTTGGTAACCAAATTAATACAACATACAAAAAATAAATTACAAAATCTAAAAGGTTAATATTAGTTACTATTTCTATAAATAATTTTAAAATATAGCTAATGGAGACAATATATTTTTAAAATTACATTCCTTATCTAATAGTTTTTTGAAAAAGAATAATGTAATAACTGATTTGTATAATATGAAATCAATATTCAAATTGGATCAAACAGAATTCAATAATTATGTTGAACAAAAAAAAAACAAGTTGAATAAATTAAAAAAATTTAAATTATTATTTATTATTATAGATATAGAACGGAAATATTTTTCCCTGTTCTAAATGCAATAATTAATCACCTAAATGATCGATTTAATTATGATTGTTTAAATTTTTTATCACAGATATCCATTTTTACTCCCGCTGGAATTATGGATAATGAAAAAATAGAAGGATGGCAAATATCCGAAATTTGTAATACTTATCAATTGGATGTCCAAAACATTGTTGATGAATGTAATGATTTTCGCTCTTTATATTTGGAGTCTCAATCAATCATTTTTTGCGAAGATCTTTTAAAAGTTAAAAAGAATGACGCGTTATATATTGATGAAAGTAATTTATTGATATTTTATTTGTAATTGTATATAATTAAAGGTATTGCAAACGATCAAATTACCAAAGAAAATATCAACAGCGAAATCATGACCAAAATAAAAAATGGATAAAATTTTCTTTTATATTACCATACCGACTTTTAAATCAATTAAATTCTTATTCAAATTTAAATTTATTATATAAATATTTATTAACCTTTCCTACAACTTCCTGTTCAGCCGAAAGAGCCATGAGTAAAGTAAAAATTAACAAAACTCGAATGCGGAATAAAATTTCGGACCCATTTTTGGAAAATTTACTGTTAATATCCAGCGAAATTGATGTTTTTGAAAAATTTACAATTGATGATATTATAACACAATTTGCTTTAACATCAATAAGGTTATCCAAATTATTAATAAAATAATTAATGTATCTTTTTCACAGCGAATATATAGGCTTTTAAATAATGTATATTTAATTTAACATTTTATAATTTCAATGCAAAATATACTATAATTCATTTTATTCTAATATTTTATATAATAGCTCTATTTACAATACATGTTTTTAATTATGTGGAATCAAGCTAAATATACCTCTTTAAATTTATTCGTCTTATATTTTTTACAATATTTTAGATCTTTTTCATAGAAATATTAATATGTTATCTCATTTAATTCACTTATATATATTTTATGAAAATAAAGTGAATACCAAATTATGAAAAGATTGCATTATTTAAATAAAAGTTCATTATCACTTACAAATTTTTAAATTTTTTTTCCCTAAATAGGCTTGAAAGATTGTAAATAGAATTATGTTGTAAGGTTATAAATGGTGGCAGATAAGATTTTTAAAATAAAATCACTATACCATAGTAGGTCTGTAAATTTCGCGGCCGAAGGCCGCAGGATTTTTTTAGGTGGGTATGGGTAGATTTTGGAGGGGTTTGCCTCCATCAAATTTTCTGCCATGTAGACGCTGGTTCCCAAGGTCGGGTAGGAATGTTCCAATTGTATAATGGCACTTCTTTAGCTCCCGGCCTTCCTTCTTGACAACTCTTACAACATTTAACAAAGTCTTCAACATCAGTATCGAGATTTGTCCATAACACGTAATATCTACACAATAATTTTATCCCCACTATCCCAGGATGTCCTCGATGAATCACATATAAAACCTCCTTTTTTAAAATATCTGCAATAATAATTCTATCATTATAAAATAATAATCCTTCTTCGAACGAAATATTATCTTTAATCGAAATATATTTTTTTACAATCTCCGAATAATTATTTATATTATCAATATACCAATGATTTTTTATTAATTTAATAATCTCTTTTAGGTTTATATCATTGCTCGTTTCACTTACGACTTAACTGCGTGTGAAAGATAAATCCTCTATTAAATTAATTTTTAATCCTCTGATTTCTTCTTCGAATTTTTTTGTAACTTCATTGGTTTTTGCTTTCTCTACCCCCAAACGGGACAGAGCATCGGCACATTTATTTTGATTACCTGGTCTATATATTATCTCATAATCATAATTTAATAGTTTCGTCGCCCACCGTATTAAACGGTTATTTGTTATTTTGTTAAGATCTCTTTTATCACCTAAAATATATTGTAATGGTTTATGATCAGTAACCAAGATAAAATGTCTTCCAAAAATATATTGATGAAACTTCTCGATAGCGAACATGATCGCCGAAGCCTCCCGATCAATTGTGGCATAATTCTTTTCAGCCGCCGAAAGTGTTCTCGATGCGTAAGCAATCGGTTTCTCCTGGCCAGTAAGAAATCGGTGTGCAATAACAGCTCCTAGACCATCTTCGGAAGCGTCACAAGAAATCACGACAGGGATATCGGCTGAATAAGGAATTATTGTATCTTCTTTTGACAATATATTTTTAACTTTAGTAAATATTTCATTTTCTTTAGCTGACCAAAACCAACCAACATTTTTACTCGTTAGTCGGTGTAAAGGCGCACAAATAGAATGCAAATTTTTAATAAATGCCTCATGATAATTCACTATTCCAAGAAATGAACGTAGTTCTTTAACATTGGAAGGTGTTTTAAAATTTTTTATAGCGCTAATCTTATCTTCTGTAGGGTGAATTCCGAAACTGTCAATAACATGACCTAAATAAGTGACTGACTTTTCTCCGATTTTAATTTTATCGGTCGTCGTGGTCAGTCCAGCCTTCTCAAATCTTCTTAATACTTCTTCCAAATTAACTATATGATCGGAATTATTCTCACCTGCAATAATTATGTCGTCTAAAAATACACTAACCATAGGAATTCCCTTTAATAGGTTTTTCATAAAGCGTTGGAATATTATCGGAGCGCTAGTCAAACCAAATGGAATTCTTTGATATCGGTAATAACCGACATGTGTCGAAATTACTAAAAAGGTCCCTACATTCTGGACTAACTACGAATTGTAAAAATGCATCTCTTAAATCTATTGTTGAAAATATTTTACCACCCGCGATTTTATTTGTTAGGTCGATGAAAGTTGGTAGTAAATCGTTATCGATCGCTAGATATTTGTTGATTGTTAAACGAAAATCTCCGCATATCCGTATGGCACCGGATTTCTTTAAGATATTAACCGTTGGCGTAGCCCAAGTGATTGGAGTTATTGTTGGATCTACCTTCTCGATAACGCCTTCGTCTAAAAGTCTGTCCAACTCAGCTTCAATGGTTCGACGCAACGGAAAAGGAACTCTTCTTGCTGGTAATGCAATCGGTAACGTGTTCGGTTCTATTCGGATGACTGCCTTTTGCAGTTTGATTTCACCTAATTTTTTTTAAAAAACTTGAGGGAATTTTGAAACAATCGTATTTAAAGAGGGAATATTCATATTCATATTTATTTTATTAATACGAACTTCTTCCGGTAGTTTTATATCAAATTCTCTAATGAAAGGCATCCCAAAAATAATGGAATTCTCCCCTTTAATTACCCAAATAAGTAAAAATTTCGAAATATTTTTTACTTTGACTTCTACGGTACATTTACCTAGTACTTCGATTTGGATATGATTATATCCCACTAATTTATAAGCCGGTGATAGTTGTGGTCCAATACGATTCCAGGTGACCTCATCAATCACACTACACGCGGCGCCGGTATCAAACTCCATAGCTAGCTGCAACCCATTTATCTTCGCATCGATGGTAGCTTTATTTGAAAATGACAGGCGAGGTGTCCGTGGCAGAATCATTTGTATGGCATGGGTTCTACAATCTTTCGCTATGTGGTTTGCCTTACCGCAACGAAAGCATATCACTTTCTTTTGAATAGAGTTAGGTTTGATACTAGGTCTATAATTATTATTAGGAATATAATTGTTACTAAAGTGTTTATTATTATTGAATCTATTGACGTTAGTATAATTATTATTTCTAAAATAATTATTTTTCGAACCCTGTGTTGGCTTATTTTTAATTATTTTATTAACTTAAGTCTGGGTTTCATTTTCCAACGAAGACAGCGCGATCGCTAAACGCACGGTCTCTTCAAAAGTAATATTGCCTTCGATATACTTTGACCGAAGTTCTTTGTCCAACTCAGGTAAGCCTACTCCTAGGATAAATATATCTCTTAAAAGTTCATCAAAAGGCGGTTTAAAATTACAAAGAGAACTGACAGTTTTAACCC